CAGTTTCTTGTTGTTTTCTTTCTAATTCTTGAAGTTGTAGGGTTAAATAGGTTATTATTAATCTTTCTTTCTTTTATTTTTTTTTTATTTTTCTTAATTTAGGTAGTCCTGTAATGCTATGAACTTCACTCTTCAGACTGATTTTGCTATGTCTCAGAGATTTTGGGTTATGTGTTCATTTTCATTTGTTTGCAGGACATTTTTTATTTCTTTCTTGATCTGATTGATAGCCCATTCATTTTTAAATACCATGCTATTTAGCCCCCATGTGTTTGAATGTTTGTGAATGTTTTTACTGTAGCTGATTTTTAATTTCATTTCATTGTGATCCAAGAAGATGCTTGACATGATTTCAATCTTCTTGAACTTATAGAGACTTGGTTTGTATCCCAACATGTGGTCTATCTTTGTGAATGATCCATGTGCACTTGAGAAGAATGTATATTCTGCAGCTTTGGGATGTAATGTTCTATAAATATCAATTAAATTCATCTGATCCAGTGTGACATTTAGAGTCACTCTTTCCTCATTAATTTTTTGTCTGGAATATCTATCCAACAAAGTCAACGGGGAATTAAAGTATCCTACTATAATTGTATTTCTGTCTATCTTTCCCTTAAAGTCCTCTAGAAGTTTTTTGTTTGTTTGTTTGTTTAGATGCACCCATATTGGGTACATATGTATTTACTAGGGTTATTTCCTCTTTCTTTTTTTAATATATTTTATTGATTTTTTACAGAGAGGAAGGGAGAGGGATAGAAAGTTAGAAACATTGATGAGACAGAAACATCAATCAGCTGCCTCCTGCACACCCCATACTGGGGATGTGCCCGCAACCAAGGTACATGCCCTTGACTGGAATCGAACCTGGGACCCTTGAGTCTGCATGCCGATGCTCTATCCACTGAGCCAAACTGGTCAGGGCGAGGGTTATATCCTCTTGTTGGATTGATCCCTTTAATATTATGAAGTGACCTTTGTTGTCTCTTGTGATGGCCTTCATTTTGAAATCTATTTTGTCAGATATGAGTATTGCTACCCCAGCTCTTTTTCCGTTTCCATTTGCTTGGAAAATTTTTGCCATCACTTGACTCTCATCCTATGTGAGTCTTTTGTTCTGACGTGGGTATCTTATAGACAACATACAATTGGGTCATGTTTTTGTATCCATTCATGTACCCTATGTCTTTTGATTAGAGCATTTTATCCATTTATATTTAACTAGATGAGTGGCCCTCGGTGTGGCCTGCCAGGATTGGGCTGAAACTGGCAGTCCAACACTGCCTGCTGCTCCTGCTCATCCTGGCCCATATAGACTAGAGGAGTGGCCCTCGGTGTGGCCTGCCAGGATTGTGCTGAAACTGGCAGTCCAACACTGCCAGCTGCTCCCACTCATCCTGGCCCCACTGGGCCTGCTGTGGGTTCACGCCCAGTCAGTCTTGATCATGAGAGGCCCGTTGGTCAGCTGAGTAGCATTCTTGCTGTGGGAGCGCACTGACCACAAGGGGGCAGCTCATGTGTTGAACGTCTGCCCCCTGATGGTCAGTGAACGTCATAGTGATCAGTCAACCGGTCTTTTGGTTATTCGGCCACCTAAGCTTATATATATAGATAGATAGATAGATAGATAGATAGATAAATAGATGTTATTATTGATAGGTACTTATTTATTGCCATTTTACTTCTTTCTGCATATGTTTCTCTCTTTCACTATTTCTTCTACACATTACAACAGTCCCTTTAACATTTCTTGCAGTGCTGGTTTAGTGGTGATAAACCCCTTTAGTGTTTTTTTTTTGTTTTGTTTTGTTTTTTGTCTGAAAAGCTCTTTATTTCACCATCTGTTTTGAATGATAGTCTTGCTGGATATAATCGTCTTGGTTTCAGATCCTTGCTTTTCATTACCTTGAATATTTCATGCCATTCCCTCTGGCCTGCAGAGTTTCTGATGAGGAATCAGCTCAGCTTTATTGGAGTTTCTTTTTAGGTAACAAAGTGCTTTACTCTTGCTGCCTTTAAGATTCTTTGTCTTTAATTTTTGTCATTTTAATTACAATATGTCTGGGTGTGGACCTGTTTGTGTTCTTCTTGCTTGGGACTCTCTGAGCCTCCTGAACTTGTGTGACTTTTCCCTTTACCAGGTTAGGGCAGTTTTCCGCCATTATTTCTTCAAATACATTCTCTATCCCTTGCTCACTTTCTTCTCCTTCTGGCATCCCAATTATGCAAATATTGTTACATTTCATGTTGTTCCACTGCTCCCTTAAGGTGTCCTCCTGTATTTTAAATTTTTTTTCTTTTCTCTGATTGAGTGATTTTTTTCTACCCTGTCTTTTAATTCACTTATCTGATCCTTGGCTTCCCATAATCTGCTGTGTATTCCTTCCACTGTGTTCTTTATTAGCGCTATGTCATTCTTTATTTCTGACTGGTCTTTTTTCATAAGTACTATATCTTTTCTCACACTGTTGAGTATCCTTGCCATCATTATTCAGCACTCTATATCAGATAAATCTCTTATCTCCATTTCATTTTGCTCTTCTTCTGGAGCATTTTCTTGTTCTTTCATTTGGGGGTTGCTGTTTTTTTGTCTCCCCATTTTGGCTGCCTGTTTGGGTTTGTGTTGATGTATTAGGTAGATCTGCTATGACTCCCAATCTCTATGCAGGACAGTGTCAGATGCTGTTCTGACTGGCACTGAGTACCCTGTTTGGAGCTATCAGCAATTCACAGCTTGTGGCTCCCTCTGCTGGGGCTGAGCGCCCTTTCTACCAGCTTCTTTCTGATGGGCTTGTACTTTCTAGAGATTCCCTTATATTTATGACTTTTGGACCAAATGTTCTAATGATATAAGATGGCAGCATTCTTGCCTGTCTTTTTATAACTCAAGAAATATAACCAGTGTGGTTTGTTGTATTCTGTATTTCCAAAAACTGTTGAAATTTGTCCAAGTATTTCAGCAAACTTGGTGAAAATTACCTTCTGATACTTGCCACTCTTCCAATCCAGGCTTCAGAGGTCTCTGTACCAGGATCCTGCACTGTATTACCTCAAAATGCATTCTGTTTGGGTATGTCCTAGTTTTTATAGCCTTTCTTACTTTCTTGAATGGCATGTGTAGGTTCAGAGTTGTAGGGATGTATCAAATACCCCAAGGAGTCTTGTCACATCTATTGCTGCTTCTTACACCATCACTTGGTCTCTCTCTCTCTCTCTCTCTCTCTCTCTCTCCCTCTCTCTCTCTCTTTTTCTAGAAAAAGGCCAGTCACTTTAGAATTTCAGTGTCTGAGGAAAAAGGTTTAAATATAACTCTCCAAACAATCTCTTGAGTCTGCAGGCCGACTGGTCTTCCCAGAGATTAAATAACAATCAACATCACCGAACCGGTTTGGCTCAGTGGATAGAGCGTCGGCCTGCGGACTGGAGGGTCCCGGGTTCGATTCCGGTCAAGGGCATGTACCTTGGTTGCGGGCACATCCCCACTGGGGGGCGTGCAGGAGGCAGCTGATTGATCTCTCTCGATGTTTCTGGCTCTCTATCCCTCTCCCTTCTTCTCTGTAAAAAATCAATAAAATATATTTAAAAAAAAAACAATCAACATCATGATTAAGCTCTCAAAAAAAATGACCACTTTTTCCCTTTTGATCATCCAGTAACTTTATACCTGAGGAAGGATATTAAGACAAACTGTAGGGACTTTCAGTTTCAGATTTGTCACAGTTCCCTGCATGTTCTCTAAAGCCAGCAATGATCTCTGAGAGTGCACTTCTATCTCTTCTTGCTGTTCATGGTATTGATGTCCACCAACCCAGGATTCCTAATAATAATCTGATAGAATCCTGAAAATGCAATCTGAATTTTTCCAGCTTTCAAGTTTCTGTGGACCTAAGGGAGAATAAATTAACATTAAGATTTGACTTTTCTTGAAAGTTATTCCAACTTATTGATGCAGGACATCTTCAATATTTTCCATAGTGATTTCTGAAAATTTTCATCTTTCTTACTAATGCTTGTGCACATAATCACGTCCTGCTCCTACCTCCTTATTGATATTTTCTGCCTGTGAGCATATTATTAATGGAGATGCTTACTTAGAGTACTAACTCTCAGTATTCTTAAAAATAAAACTGCTCAAAATTTTACACAGAAATTAGAGGACTGCATTTTTTCCAACTCTGTATTTCGCTCTGTCTCTTAAACTTGAAACAATGTTGCTTATGCCCAGACTCTAACTGAAACTCTTGCTAAAAAGAGAGTCCTTTCAGTTTCTGCTTATATAGTGTTTCTGCATAGTGGTCACATCTAGTTTCTGCAGCACATTTGGGGCTCATACCATCCTCTCCATCTCCAATAACTCCAGAGTTCCCAAGCCATATCTCCAAAGGACTTACACATAAACTTTCCTCTTGTTGACCCCTTTCCTCAGGAAAGGTGGGAATGGAAATGTATGTTGTCAGCTAAGAACTCATCTCAAAATCAAGCCAACCAAACTTGGTATACTGTTGTTGCTCTTATAGGTGATATACTCATCATTTGTATTGCATTTGGAAAATGATATGCTAAAACAGAATGATTGAATTTTTTAATGTCATTGAGTACAGATGTAAATGTATTCATTCATTCATTCAAGAAATATTTATTGAGTACTTTTATGAGCCAGGACAGATTTAGGAACTGGAAATAAAACAATCAGACACAATCCAGTCTTACAAAAACAGTATCTATAATAGTTAATCTCAATAATGATAATTCCATGCCTTCTATAAGAATTTAGGGAGAAAGCATTCCTAACATAAAATATAACTTTCATTTTCTCACACTGCTACTCTTTTGTGTGACTACCAATTTATGCTGTGAATAGCTTTCAACAAATGTCAACTCTAGATTTTCTTCAGCAAAATGCAATTGAATATATGCCATTGCACAAATCTGTTCAGTCCTTCAATGTGCTATAACAATGTCCTACCTTTTTTTTTCTTTTTTTCTTTTTCCCCCCTCAGGTGTGTCAGTACCGATTCCAGTGCTTGGACTGAGGGATGAAAGCAAGGTGTTCGCCCGCAATATCACCTGTGTGCTGAATGACCCAAATTTCATTGTTATTGGGTCCTTCGTAGCGTTCTTCATACCATTGACGATTATGGTGATCACCTACTTACTGACGATTTACGTTCTTCAAAGACAAGCTCTGATGTTACTGCGCGGCCACACCGAGGAACCGCCCAAGATCAGCCTGGATTTCTTGGAGTGCTGCAAGAAGAATGCCACCGAGGAAGACAACGCTGCTAACCCTAATCAAGACGTGAGACTTCGCCGAAGAAAGAAGAAAGAAAAACGTCCCAGGGGCACCATGCAAGCTATTAACAATGAACGGAAAGCATCGAAAGTCCTTGGCATTGTTTTCTTTGTGTTTCTGGTCATGTGGTGCCCGTTTTTTATTACTAATATTCTGTCGGTTCTTTGTAAGCAGTCCTGTAATCAACAGCTCATGGAAAAGCTTCTGAATGTGTTTGTTTGGATCGGCTATGTTTGTTCAGGAATCAATCCTCTGGTGTACACTCTTTTCAACAAAGTTTACCGACGGGCTTTCTCCAACTATCTGCGCTGCAATTATAAGCCAGAAAAAAAGCCTCCGGTCAGGCAAATTCCGCGAGTTGCTGCTACTGCTTTGTCTGGGAGGGAGCTCAATGTTAACATTTACCGGCCTACCAACGAACGCGTGATAAAGAAAGCTGATGACAATGAACCAGGGATAGAGATGCAAGTTGAGAATTTGGAGCTCCCGGAAAATCCCTCCAATGTGGTTAGTGAAAGGATCAGTAGTGTGTAAGAAAGCGCAACACAGTCTTTTCCTACAGTAATGCTGGTAATGTAGGAAAATATTCTTCTATGATCTCCTGCTGGTTCTAACTAATGTAAATACTGCTGTCTAAAAAAAAAAGTGTTTTTTATATATAGCTTTGCAATCCTGTATTTTGCAATCATGTGTACAATAGTGAGATTTAGGGTTCTATATTTACTGTTTATAATAGATGGAGAATAACTTATTTTGATTCTTTGATGCATAAAATGTTGATTGTTTTCTTTCCCTTCCTTCCTTCCTCCCTGCCTCCTTTTCTTCCTCTCTCTCTCTCTCTCTCTCTCTCTCTCTCTCTCGCCTTCTTTTGTGAATAAGGAAATGTTCATCTCAGGTGGCATTTGCAGGAGACCAGAATGATGCATATGACAGTGGTTGTATTTCAGCCACACCAAAATTAAAAATTCGGTGGAATCTTTTTCCAGGTTAACAGTAAATATATACTTTAAATTCTTGCTGTGCTGTGCTCATCCATCTACACACATAAACACAGTAAGATAGGTTCTGCCTTCCTATACTCTGTCATATCGTTAGTGAGGCAAAGGTAGAACGTAGCCTTTTTGTCACATATGGGGCAAAATTTGACATTGTCAGAGTGTTGTGTTGATATTGTACTGCAATGTCTGTCCCCAAACATAGTGGTATTTTAACATAAGCAGCTGGTTAACCGGGACTACAGAAGTGGAAGGATAATACGAGATACATCCACTAGTAGCTTTTCACTTCTTAAGGACAATGTTCAAATTCTGATTATAATGACAAACAAATTGAAATCAATGTTTTCATTCTGGTCCTTAGTAAATACCTAATTACGTAACTAAACTGGGAAATGAGGTCCCAGGTTTATTTCCCAATCCAGAATTCAACATCAATTGGATTTTGATCTCAGGATCCTGGAAATTCGTGTGCTACACACAAAGTGAAATTAGCATTTTGAGCCTTATTAAAATATTTTTTTAATTATGGTACCTCTGTCTATAGGGCCCAATTTTGTAGTCCGTTTTTGAGTAAAACTTGCGTTGGAAGCATAGATGATCAAAACCTTGGGAGCTTTACTTGATTAAGGACTACAGAATGAGGCCCTTAGAATGTGAAAAAAGTAATTAAAAAGAAGCTTTTACTGAACTCTAGGAATAAGAGAAATACAGAGTTTCCATTTGGATTTTAAACAAAATTTATCTCATTTTCAGATCCTTCCAAACTCTAGTGCAGGAAAAGGCTGCAGCTAATTTGTGAAAGTGGCAAGCTCTTCATTGTACTGCAATTACGTACCAGAAGTTTAAACCTCTGCAGCTAATTTGTGAAAGTGGCAAGCTCTTCTTTGTACTGCAGTTATGTACCAGAAGTCTAAACCTTTGTTAAAATATAGTGTTGTGTTACAATCAGTGTTGGCCATTGTTTCATCCGTGGGCCTGCTGCTCTCTAAGAATTCAGTACCCCTTTACTAGCTTGTAAACCGTGAAAGGTTTTCAGGCATTGCTACAGTCAGACCATTAAATCTATGCTGTGTGCAGAGTATACAATGTGTCCAGTAACTGTATTTCCATGTGTGTCCATCTCACACAACTGTGGAACAATTTCTGAAGAATTCATGATGCTATTTCTTATACCTGACAGTTACTTACACACCTGAAAGTGTGCCTCTCAGTATCCTGAAATTGGTGAAGGCAGAATCTGAATTTCTAAGACCCCTGATCTGTGTCCTCAACACACAGCATAGAAAAATCCAAGTCTGCCACAGGGGCAGTGGGAGAGCTGCTGTACTTGAGGAAACTCATACAGTCTCTACTTGATTCACAACACTGCCAAATGTCAGTCAATTCCTTGAGCATGCCCAAATCTAACATGGAAGTAAAGCCTACCTGCCTGTTAGCTCTGTCGAACTGCATGTTAAAAAAATTATATGAAATTGAATGAGATGATCTAATTCTTACTGAAATTAAATGTCTGAAGAAACAGCATGCATCGCGCATGAGTTGTGCACATACAGAGGGTGTCCTGCATGTATGCCATGTATGTTGCATGAATCCATCAATTTGTATTAATGTAGGGCAGAGTAGGTGATATCAAAGGACTGAAGAAAACCCGTCAGCAGTCCTTAAAAAGACCACACATTCAGATCTGAAGTATTTTGAGTATTCGAGAAAATTGGAAACATCTGATTTCTTAACTATCAGGGCAAGCTCATAGCACATGTTTTACACAGAAATAAAACATAAACCACAATGTTCAAAAGCACTGGCAATAAGTTGAATGATAATAGCTTATAGCACATTTGTTAATAATTCTTATGTCATCAAGTAGTAGTACTTAATAGTACCCAACACAGCAATTATTCTCAAATTGTGTGCTATTCGTAAGTTCTGTGCAGTTTGGTATGAAACAAATATACTTATTTGGATATAAATCTTACAGTTCAAGGTTAAATCTACAAACTTTTATAAGTGTTTTAAAAAGTCCATGTGATAACTGTGAACGTGATGAATTTACTGTCAAACAAATCATTTTGATGAACTATTATATATGTATATCTGTTAAGAAACATGCAACAGACTGCCTTTATTATTTCCTGTAAAACTTCTCCATCATATGGTACTTTTTGTGAGTGGTGGCAAAGTGTTGTTTTATTCTTGGTTCCTGCATTTCCCCGCTCCAGGTGTTTGTGATACTTCCCATTAATTTATTAAATTTATTAAACGTTGGCTGATGTGTCATGTGTCTTTATTCCACCTGCATCATTTGAGGGGAAAATATATCACTTCACTTCATTTTCTTTTAAAATAAGTTGACACAACCAGAAAATGCTGCTCTTCTGATTAATTCTGCATGTACTCAAAGACTACACCACTGGAGGAAAGACAATTAAGATGTGTAAACCACAAAAACAATATTAAAATAACATCACTGATTATTCATGAGAAGAATAACTGAACTACCAAATTATCTTACCTTCCTTCACCTGAGCAGGGACCTGGGTGGCACACGTGCTCTCCTTGTTATAAGTGTCATTGCTACCTTATTCCCACCAGACTCTAAGCTCCCCGAGAACAGGAAGGACCATGTCTACCTTATGGATGGTTTTATCCCCAATAGTTAGTGCTCACTATACATTCAACAGATATAGATTGAGCATCGGTACCTGTGGGCCTTGTATTATCTTTTAGTGTTGCCCAAATGGGCCTTACAATTCCCTGCTCTTCAGTCATGCACTGTAGCAAAATCACCTTAACTTACCTCCATCCCAAATGGCTTTGGATATCTCTGCAATCATCAGGGTAACCATACTAAGCTGCTCGGTTCCTTCACACCCAGAGCCAGGGATGACAAAATACACATATACCTTCTTGATTGCTGGGGGTGCCTAGGTGATATTGATGTGACTTCAGTTCTCTGAGAAGAAAGCAGGAAAACCTTATTCCTTTGCCACTATGACTAGGTTGATTCCTAGGAGTAGGTGAAGAAATAAAGGTTGAACTGACACTTGAAACAATAGGTCACTGCTGCCCATGGTCAGAAATATCTTGTACTATTGAAGCTAGGGGCTACTCTCCCCCAACAGCGAAGCAATGGGAAGATGTCGAAATTTCTGAAGGTAAAGAATTGGAGTGGTTACTACTATTGGAAAGGAAAGTGGGCAAGGGAAGGCTGAAGTGCCTCATTCTACAGCCTTGGAACTTCTTCATAGTTTGAAGACATAAAGATGTGTCCTGTTATCAAGTGACAGTAAGTTTCTGCCAACTGCAGAAACACACAGTTCCTCAGCTCACGCTTAGGCCAATGCAATCTGCAAGGTTGAGGCTCATTTCTCTCTGTACATCCTCCCTAAGCACATGTTAACATATTACCTACAGAGCCGAATATATTAGAAAGAGATGTTTGTATAGGCCAGTGGTTCTCAACCTGTGGGTCGCGACCCCTTTGGCGGTCGAACGACCATTTCACAGGAGTCGCCTAAGACCATCCTGCATATCAGATATTTACATTACGATTCATAACAGTAGCAACATTACAGTTATGAAGTAGCAACGAAAATAATTTTATGGTTGGGTCACAACATGAGGAACTGTATTTAAAGGGCCAGAAGGTTGAGAACCACTGGTATAGGCAATGCCAACAAAAGTAGGTGGCATCATAGTGGTTCTCAACCAATATGTGACCTATAGCATAGCTATAAACAAATGGTTCTAAGAGATAGGTTGGGTTCCCCAGAATGTAAACTCTGAGATGGAGATAAGTGTGCAGGATGTTTATTGGGAAGTGACCTTGGGATCCTTATGTACCGAGAAAGGGCAGGAAGTGGGACTGGGCAGAGGGAGGCGTTGGACCGTGACGCAGTTACAATAAGGGCTTATTCAATCTGTACCGGAGAAATATACCATTTCACTTCATTTTCTTTGAAAGTTAAGTTGAATTTTGTAAAAGAAATTCACAAAGGCAAACACAACCAGAAAGTATCACCCTTCATGACTAATTCTGCATGTACTCGAAGACTACAATGCCAGGGGAAAGACAATGAAGAGGTGTGAACAACAAAACACTTAGCTGACTCCCAGGAACTTTGAATCTAGGACAGTGATGGTGAACCTTTTGAGCTCGGCGTGTCAGCATTTTGAAAAACCCTAACTTAACTCTGGTGCCGTGTCACGTACAGAAATTTTTTGATATTTGAAACCATAGTAAAACAAAGACTTATATTTTTGATATTTATTTTATATATTTAAATGCCATTTAACAAAGAAAAATCAACCAAAAAAATGAGTTCGCGTGTCACCTCTGACACACATGTCATAGGTTCGCCATCACTGATCTAGGATATAATGGTATAATGAGCATCAGTATCTGTGGGCCTTGTATTATCTTTTAATGTTGCCAAAATTCAGAGTCGTCCCAAGTTGAAGTGGGGCGACCAGACCTCTATACCTCCACTGGCCCCAAGAGAGATGTATGACCTTATGCCGGTTCACGCTCTTCCA